GCCGCCTGACAGTTAGCCCGGACCACTTCTCGACGCCCCCGTCGAGCCCTGGCAACTTACGTCAGACGAAGCGGATGAGCTTCAGGAGGATGGTCCGTAAAGGTCGCCCACGTCGGCGTTCGATTGTCTTATGTTTCAGTTTGTTATGAGTCCTGGGGCTAAGAAGATGCTTCTTGACTCTCCTGTTTCTTCTGGTTTTTTGCCCCGGTACGATCCTTTTTTTCTTCTGTCTTTGCCCCGAGAAGGGTGTCGACCCGCCAGTACGTCTAACCCGAACTCTTCGTCTAGCTCGCTTGAGCACGAATAACCATTTTTTCTTTCTTCCTAAAGCTAATCCTTTGACCTTTCTCTTGTCTATTCTTTTCCTTTTCTTGGAACTCTCCCCTGCCTCGAATTGCCTCAAGGGGGCTTCATCCTCCACCATGGCTTTCCCTTTCCCTTTCAGGCTGGTTAACGATGAAGCGGGCGTGGGCGTGGGCCTGGGCCTAAACAGCTTTAACCTAGCGCCCGCCACTGGGTCCTTCCACTTAGATCCATCCAATTCTGCTATCATATATGCACCCCAGTCGAGTGCCTCAACCACTCTGTAAGGTCCCATCCATCTGTTGGCGAGTTTTCCGGTCCAGGTTCTTTCCAGCGCTGCATCGTAGAGAAGGACCATATCTCCTACGTTCACCCTCTCTTTCCTAATTCGCATGTTCTTATCCCATCTCTCTTTACCCTTGTCCCTTTCTACTACCAGATGATCTGCCTCTGTCATGAGGTCATCTTCCAAACCGTAGGCTATTTGCCTTGTTCGGGCAGCTAAGAGTTCCTCTCTGGACATCTCCTCCGCCCAGTCGACGGTTGTCCAGCTGTCAACGTGAAACTCTATGGGAAGCGGACAATGTCGCCCAAACCACAAGGTGTACGAGGGGTACCCGGTACTAGCCCGGACCGTGACGTTGTCCGCCCATATTGCGTATCGAAAATATCGTGGCCAATCACTGTCCTTACCCTTGCACCACTTGGACAGTGACGCTATCAGAGTCTGGTGTCCCCTCTCTACTGGGGAGTTCGACTGTGGGTGATAGGCGGTGGCTATCGAAACTGTCGCACCGGCTCTCCTAAACACGCTCTGGACCTCGTCGGCTAGGAATTCCGCCCCTCTGTCCATCACTATCTTCCTGACACAACCATACCTAGATAAGTACTCTAGGACAAAGTTCTTTACTTCCTTTGCCGTCTTACTCCTGATAGGTCTACCGTCCACGAACCCAGTGAAATCGTCTCGTATGTTCACGACGTAGTTCATATTGCCTACCCCTCTCGGCATTTTCACTAGATCGATGTGTACCTTCTCCCCTGGTCGGGTTGGATAGGATGGATGAAGCGGCTCTTTGTATTTCACAAGAGCTCTCTTCTGGCACTCTTCGCATGTCCTACAATACCTCTAGACGTCCTTATGCTGTCCTTCCCACCAGTACAACCTGCGTACCTTTTCGTAGGTTCCTTTGATTCCTCTGTGTCCTCCGACTACCCCGTCGTGAAGCTCCGCAACTATTGTCTGTCTCTCCTCAGGGTCACAGACTACTCGTAAGGGCATTCCCGACCCTACTGGCCTTCGGAAAAGGTGCCCCGCTCTAAGGCAGTACTGGGCTGCTTGCCTCCGGATATCTGAATCTTGACTCTCTTCTCCCGTTAGATGTAGTCCGATCATCCGGTACTTGCCCTCGTAAAGATTAACTAGAAACCTCTCGGCGTGGTTCGGCTCTGCCATTGTCAGAGCCCCAGCTACTATCGGACGCTCGAGAGGGATGCGTGAAAGTCCATCTGCCACGGCGTTTTTCGTACCAGATACTCTTTCGACCGTGTAATCGTATAGCCGAATCCGTATTAACCATCGGGCGATGGTCGGGTCCGTCAGACTAAAGTCCTTCTGGAGGACAGAGGCAACCGCGGTGGGGTCTACTCTCAAGATGAACCGTCGCCCATACATATAGTGTTTGAACGTGTCTAGACACCGGAGAACAGCTAACACTTCCTTCTTGAATTGACTGTAATTACGTTCAGCCGTATTAAGTGTCTTACTCTCAAATCTTAACGGTCTTTCCTTCCCTCCAAGGTCCTTCTGAGACAGCAAACCATCCACTGAACATGGTCAAGCATCAGTGGATACTATGAAGGGTCTCTCGGTCTCATCGTCAAAGAATGGCACGCCCAACACACGTCCTCCCTCCTTAAATTCGTCCTTAAGTTCTTGCATTGCGAGTTCCTGCGAAGAATCCCAGTAGAATTTTTCAGTCTTTCGAAGGAGTAACCTCAATGGCTCAGCCTTCTCCGCATACCCCCGTATGAATATACGTCAGTAACCGACCACTCCCAGAAACTGTCGGACCTCGGTTGGGCTATGTAACGGTGACGGCCAGTTCAGGAGTTTGTCTAACTTCGCCGGGTCTGCTCGGCGTCCTTTCGAGTCACATATAAAGCCCAAGATCTTAATAGTTGAGACGGCCCATCGGCTCTTGGTTCCGCTGACTGTCAAATTCGCATCGTCCAGCTGCTCGAGTACCGCGCAAATGTCTGTTAGGTGCTGCTCGACGAATCTTCTAACTCCTGGTATAACCTCTGTCCCATCCCTGTCTACTGGTCCTTTTATAGGAAAGTCATCCAGAAAAACTTCAACCTTATCAGGGATGAAGTCCTTGAGGACGGCTACCATGGCTCTCTGAAAAACGGCTACCCCATTAGTCCAACCCATAGGGACCACCATCATTTGAATCAGTCCCAATGGCGTATGCATAGCCGTGAGGTGTCTGTCCCTTGGCTCAAGCGGTACCTCATCATAGCCTGAGAACAGATCACAGACCGAATAGATCGACCTACCTGCTGCGCCTTCTGCCAGTAAATCGGCGTGTGGCACGGAGCCCACGTCTTGTATCGTCACCGCGTTGACCTTCTGAAGGTCCTAGATCCATCGGATCTTACCGTTCGGCTTTCGTAGGAAGAACCATCGATTTGCATAAGCGCTATCAGACGGCTCCGCATTGTGGGAAACCATCTTTTCTTTCAGGAAGACGATAACTTCTTCCTTCTCCTTCTGGACGTATTTCCATCCCACGTCGTTCCAGGGAACATGTGGTATCGTGTAAATCCTTGCTGGCTTAGCGTATCGAGGGTCAATCCTACCGCGCTCCGCGTGGCTGAAAGCTATGGCCTTATCACACGTCTTCAGGATTTCTATCACACGTTCTCGCTCCTGTGGGGTCAAATTTCCATCTCCGATGTCCATCCCTGCTATTCTCTCTTCCGTTAGGCGTTGCGGCTACTCGTTTGTGTCGTTTGGGTAGCCCCCCATAGGGGGCCGTGCCCTTAAAAAAGACACGGATACCACACCGCCAAATTCCTCATCTTTTTCCTTTGGGTACGAGTTGCCGTCCACTATCAGCCGACTCCCCAAGTCTTCGACCTCCACCATCCGACCTTCTTCCTCTGTGAGCAGTGATCCATATTTCTTTTCGCGAAATCGCACCGCGCGGCTGGAAATAGGCAACGACTTAATCTGCTCACCGGGTCGTGCACCCACTGCTAGAGCTGCTCTGTTCCTCGGGTCCCGAGGCTCCACTGTCTCAATCATCACCCGCGTCCCGTCTGGCTTCTTAATGGATAATGTTTGGCTCCCATCAGGTCGCTCTATCGTCACCGCATGCACGTGGCTCATCCACGTTCGACCCAAGAGCAGGTCGGAGTTGCAGTTCTTGACTGCAAAGACAGGCAGGGTTACTTGCACCCCTTGGACCTCTATGGCTGCCTTGTGACAAACCCAGTGATTTGTTGCTTTCTGCCATCATCCGTCTCTATCTCGAATAGGTATGACCTATCGAGGCCCAGTCCAACTTGTACCGCAAGGTCCTCGTCTATGATAACAGCCTCACTGCCGTTATCAATCACAGCATCGAGTACCGCATCCTCGTTTATAATCGTCTCCACGGCCCCGCTACCAAGTATATAAAACTTGTCTGGAGGCACACCTTCCATTCCATCCAGAAGGACTGTCGCCATGCGATCCGCTCTGGCAGTCATCCCAGTTACTGTTACTGTAGAAGCTTCCGCCTTAGGGGCCCCCTGACCCTCCTCCGATAGAGGTATGCGGGTCTTCCTCGTGATCATCTGTAACTCATCACGAGCTGGCTTCGATGCCGCCAGGTACTCCAGAATAGAGCACTGCATGGGTTGCCAAAGGGCCCGCTTCAGTGGCTCGACCGTGTCAATCTCGTCCAGCGAACTCTTCATTAAGAACTTCTTAACTCCCCGCTTCCGCGGCGAAAGGATAACCTCCTCTCCATCGACCCGCTGCCCGTCCTTCTCCGCCATCACGTAATCCATGTCATATTTCTTTGATGTAGACCCTCTCGCCAACTTGGTGGCTGCCACCCTTATGGGTGTAGTCGTCATGTCCCCCTCAAAGGTTATCTTGATGCTCTGGCTCCTGACCGGCTTCATTCCTTTACTCGTCTTTATTCTCCTTGCTTCRACATTCTCCTTCATCGAAGGGAACATCGATACATCTCCGAGATCATCTGCCCACTTGACGTACTTGCGGTCGTCAAGCACGACAAGTCCCTCTTCTATTGCCCGTTTGAGGTCCGGGCAATCCCTCTTGATATGATCTTCTCCTCTACAATAGACGCATGAGTTCCTGGGAGTAGACGCCTTGTCGTCTGCGCCTTTAAACATCGAATTCCTGGCCGCGTTGGAGTCAGGCAACTTTGGATATTGTTCTGATGAGACACCGTATCCCCCTCTCTCATTCCGAATGCGCGAATCGTTGCGCCGGTCTCCTCCAGACCCTCCTTGGTTATATCGCCCTCGCGAATCATCCCGGCGGTCCCCCGAGTTATATCGTCCTCGTGACTCATCGCGTCGGTCCCCTCGGTTGTACCATCCCCGCAACTCGTCGCGCTGCTCTCTCGCATCTCCACCGCGCTCAAACCGTCCGCGCGACCTATCTTTTCGTTCCCAGTCCCGATCTCCTCTCTCATATCTACTTCCTCGGTAGCCCTCTCGACCCAACCTCTCGTATCTGTCGTCCCTATATCCATCCCGGTCCAATCTCTCGTATCTGTCGTCCCTCTCCCATCGGCCGCGGGAGTCGCCTCTACCCCGATCGGCCTCATAGCGAGGGCTTCGCGGGTAATCATCCAGCCTCCTTGCTCGCACAAACGGCTCGCGATCTCTGCGGTCTCGGTCTATCTCATCGTCCCTACGTCGCCATGGCTCATYGTCTCTCTCTCCTCCCCTCGTTCGATAATCAGTCAGCGTCCGAGGATTTCTATCCTCGACACTCCTCCAGGGATCGTTGTTCCTACGGTCCCAGCGAAGCGAATAGGGCCCTCCAGGTTTGTCTCGGTAGGCCGTGACCCTTGTGGCGGTCACAATCTCCGTAACCTGTCTTGTCAATTCCTTTCACCATGTCCCGTATCTCCTTCACTTCCTCAGCTACGACCTCATTCTTCTCCGACCAGGGATAGTCCTTGAAATGAGGACATCTATCAGTGGCATACTCCTTGTAGAGAGAGAAGTCACGTCTCCTCATCCCTCTCCACACCAAGTCCTTGTAATCGTCTGCCTCTGCCTTTATCGCGAGCTTTAG